TATTATTATTATTATTATTATTATTATTATTATTATTATTATTATTAATTTAATTTCTTATGGTGAACATGTTGGGCTGAGACAGGTTGGGAATGGGGTATATTGTTCTCTCCTTTTATTGTTCTTATTTTGTTTTGTTTTTGTTTTTTGTATATGTAGTAAGTGTGACTATTTCAACATTTGTACTTGTGTGTACTTGTGTGTATATATTAGAAGTTATACCTGCATAAGTATACATTTTCCCCCCAAAAAAAGTGTATTCCTTATTGTTATTATCTTATCATTTGCTTCAATAAAAATAATTTAAAAAATAAGTATTTACAAGGATAATTTCAAATGAATTTTAAAAACTGTGTAATGTCAGATCCAATCTGCTCCCCAGGCGGTGATAAATCTACATGGTAACGGCCATAAAGAAATGTGTTTTATGTTAGTAATCACACACTAACTTACACTCAGAAAACACATGTGACCGGTAGCTTTTGTAAATAACAAAACCCCAGGTTAGTTACTGAGCTGTTTTCAGAGGGGACAGCAGAAAACAATGCCCTGGAATCCCAAATTCCCCAGAGTAAACTTTAAAAAGCGCTCACATGTCGGCCTTTTATAAGAACCAGGATTCTCACAGAGATGGACTGGCCGATCCACCCCATTCATTGGGAAAAGGATCCGTCCTAAACGGTAGCCGTGGGCAACCAGTGGAAACCTGCTCAGTTTCGTAATGTAATACTAGTGCTTCAATGCAGTAAAACGATCATTAAAAACTTCACAAGGCTCATTGAAATCTTAAAACCCCACTGCTGGGGTTACCATGAATAAACTGTATTTTGGATTTTTAAAAAATCAATTTTGCCTTCCCCCTGTTTCCAGTCATTGAGCTGCTGCTCACAGTGCTCTGTCATTACTGAAAACCAAGGTTGGCTATGGAACCTTAAAGTCTTAAAGGGTTTCAAAATAGATTGAGGTTTAATGACAACTCTGCCTTCCAAAAAGAGGGGATGGTTAGAAGAAATGACTGGGATGAAACAATAACACCAAGAACAAATTCAAGTTAACAGTTTATCCACTTTTATTCACAAACCTTTGGTGTTTTTTTGCATCAATAATCAGAGAATCAATATTTTCCCGCAGCTTAGGATCTTTTTTTGTTTTCCGCATGTTTTCTGGAGCCCAAATTCTTATGCACAATGTACAACACTGTCAGCATACAGCACAATGAAACGGTTATAAAAAGAGCCAAGAGCCTCCATCACATCTGTGAATAAAAAATGTAAAAAACATTCATAATCTGTGTAGCATTGGTTTGGCATTAGACCCAGTTTCCAGTCTTAATGCTTAGTTGAGTCTCCTAAAGGAACAGAGACACAGACTCACCAGCAGAACTACTAAAGACACATAGTGGTTTTCAGGAAATGCTTTCTATAACTCTTTAATGTCTGCACGGAAAATAAATTAAAGGAAAATGTATCATTGTGTAATTTGCATAACAGTTGGGAACTACATCAGAATGATAGCACTACACAACCAAAAAGCTACTACTTTGACATGTTCACTTTCATTAATTTTAATTAATACTGCAAAGTAACCGAAAAAAGAAACTTTCTCTATCAAGCGGTAGAGACATTAAAGGGATATGGAGGCAACAGAAGAACACATAATGCTACAGATTACAACTCTAACATTCATACTGACCAAACGAGAGGTGATCACAGAATAATTCAGAGCATTTCGGGCTCGGCTTGTCCACATTTTTTCTTATCTCACCGGATGGTTTAGCCACTGCTCTGTGAGCTTACACTGTCAGCCTGCTGCAGTTCTCTGCGTTATTCCAGTGGAATACCATTTCACACCCATCCTCCTCCCCAAGTGGGTGAGAAAAACAGTTACTAGTATATTCAGATAATGATAGTTAGGATTTGAATTTGCCGGGAATTATATAAACCAAGAACAGAAGAGATTAATGAAAAAAAAAGTGTTTTTTCTATCGTACTTAAAATGTTTTCATCCTAATAATCTCTGAACTATAGTACTGAGTGATGTGTGCTCCAACATACTAGAGCAGATATTTCTTATTTCTTACATCTTTGCATATTACATCTTTTAACAGATACATCTTTAATGAGGGACTCTATAAAAGTAGCAATAAATCTTGAATGAAGTCCAGATTTTGTGTCCACATAGTCCTCGTATACCACAAAACCATGGCTACAAAGAGAGGCTAAAAGATTAGAACGATATTTTAAAATAAACCTGATCATCGCTTTAAAATAGCATGTGGCTGTCAGTCCTAAAAACTTAAGTAAGGGCAAACGGACTGAAGTTGTTTTTCCTTCTATTTCGCTCCAAATGAGCAGTATGGGAGCATCAGCTTATGGAAGTCTCTATATTAAACAGGGAAAAAACATATCACACAACCCTAACAACCTCTTTCCTGTATATAGGACTAACTGCTGAATTAAAACTGAAGCCTTTTGCATGAGAAGTAAGACAAGGAAGTCCAGCTGCCCTCATTCAAGCTCTTAGGGTTTAAAAAAGTTATTTACTTCATGTCCTGCATATTATCGTTGTTAATTTTTTAAATGTTCAAAACAAAAAAAAAAACATACATTCAAGATTCTTTTCAAACTTAGAAGCGAATGCAACGTGCACAAATCAAATTCAAAGTTAAATGTGTGCTCTGAGACAAACCTTACATGTCGGGTTACGGTTAATCTCGTATATGTGGAGATTGCAACCCGCTTACTGACCGTTTCGGCCGTATTCTG